ATCAGACTGATGGCCGGTTTATAGTAAGTAGTCCAGAATTTTCTGACTGACTACAGTATGGGATGATCGCTCCCCATTGAACCTCAAATAAATGGAACTCCTGACAAACTGCATTCAAGCAATCTGATGAGCGTAGTTTCTTTACGTACAGCGATATCACTGTCCTCTCTCTTTGTTATGCTGAGAATTTCATATGGTTACCAACCATGTCATACTGAATAAAACACTTAGAATAGCTACTATTCATTAGAATTTCGCATTGTACATCTTATTTGCATGCAGAAAACGATCTAACAGTTTTTGTCAACTATTTATGTTTCTCTTTATTTATCAGTTGTTAATTTGTGTCTGTGTTTGTTTATCTAATAATACTGTTTGTTTATTTTCATGTTTAGTTGGGAGTGTTTAATAGTTACATTTTACCCATTATTTCCTATCCATTTATAGGTTCCATTATCTGAGCTATCAGAAGCAGTTGAAGAATTGGCGAATTCGGAAGTTATTATTAAAACATTGCGTAACGAAATCAACTGTCTCATGGAACGACAAGTAAGTTATAAATATTTCTGTATTTTTCTATTTGACTAGTGTGTTAGGACATACTTTAATTTCATGTTGTAATAAAGCTTTTTACAAACCAAATTACAAATATCATACGTCTGTATAGATGTTCGATACTGATTTTTTTTTGTACTAACTGAAGTTTTCGCATTATGTATGATCATTTTTTCCGAGCTAATCTTTGAATAGTGTATGATTGGTTAATTCTCAAAGAATTTACTTGTGAAATTCTGATACAGAAATTCTGGGATGACCGTAGGATGGAGGTAACTCAGCAAGCAATTTATTTATTATTGGCATGACTCAGTCAAGAAGACTATTCTGGGTGATGTAGAAATCAGTAATTTTAGATTCGAACAAGTGCATTTGTGTGTTTCTAAAGGTGATACAAGTCTTATCTAAAGACTTGCTGATTAATCCTAGATAACGCTAAGCTTTGGTTATAGTTTTATCATGAATCGCCTCCAATGATCGAGCATTCAACAAAGAACTAGCGTCATCGTACTAATTATTATTAGTAGCTCATCTAAACTTCATAAATTGTATTCGATTAACATGGGACTTTTCAGTGAGAATGCACTGCATACACTTACTTTCACTCTTTTTTACTGTGAACTATACATTTGTTAAGGCTGACGCCACCTAATCAACAGCGTATTCGCGTTAGTGAATAGCAAATACTATCTAAGTGATATTGCAAATGACAGGAAAAATCTTTATTAAGTCTTATGATAGATTTTATGTATGAATGATTTATTTGTGTATATTATCTCAACCAAATTGTAATTAACAGTTATACCATCTTTAAAACCTATGGTTATAGTTAGAAAGCTTTACGTTTACTTACTTTCATGTTTAACCATAGTAAATCATTGAGCAATGTTAAGTTTCACATTTATTTATTCGGAGTCTTATTCGACTGTTTAACATTACTGTTTACCTGATTTTGGTTCAATGATTTTCTTCTCCAGATTGAATTACAACATGATTATGATACTGCTTACGAGATGTTAATGGAACGTGAAAATGATCTTACCCGACTTAACGAACAGATACTTAAAGCAGAGGTAAAGTATGACTTTTTAGAGAGGAACTTGTCATTCGGGTGCAATGTTTTAGTTGCATACATCAGTGTTTGTTCTCGTCACCATTTTGTGTCTGAACTGTGACTGGTTATTTACAATTATTTATTGTATTCCTTGGTTGTTTTCCCACTTAATACAGTGACACAAATCAGATCTCAGTGTTTACTAATTATACTGAAAGCTTAACAACAATTGTTCTGACTGAATGAATAAACTGCTGGCCGGTTACCATGATACAAGTGTTTATTAACAGCTGTCTACGCAAAATACTTCGGATTCGTTGACCAGACATCATCAGCAACAACGTACTGTGGGAGAGAACAAACCAGATTCCAATGGAGTAGGAAATCAGGAAGAAGCGGTGGAAGTGGATAGGACACACACTACGAAAAGCACCTAACTGCGTCACGAGACAAGCCCTTACACGGAACCCTCAAGGCAAAAGGAAAAGAAGAAGGCCAAGGAACACATTACGCCGAGAAATAGGGAAAGATATGAGAGCAATGAACAAACATTGGACAGAACTGGAGAGGGAAGCCCAGGACAGAGTTGTTTGGAGAAAACTGGTGGGCGGCCTATGCTCCATTGGGGGTAACAGGCGTAAGTAAGTAAGTAAGGTTACCATGATCAAAATGGATATATGCTGATGTAAATTCCAATGAAGAATTATACAACTGATTTAAAATACCTGTTTTTAGTCAACAATTATCTGCAGTATATCAGATTTAATTTTGCTTCCAGGTGTTAGGGAATCTAACCAGTTTGCTATGACAGTTGATTATTTCTTTTTCTCTAAATATTTTATTTATTTGTAGAATAAATGTAAAAGTCTCAGTAATCAATTGTTACGACGTAAAGAAGTTATTTTAGAACAAGATGAAGATTTATTCCTTCTAAGCGAAGATAAAGTAAGTTATCAGTTTATATCATGTGTATTGCATGTCATGAAATGATTACACATGGACTAATTAATTATTGCTACCATACAACGCTACATTAATAAGCCTTATCCCTTTTCTTCCTTTGCTTATGTTCAACCTAACTAACCCTGTTAGTGAATGAAATTGACAGGACTTTGAGTAAAATTGATCGTTGAACGTTGCGTAAATGATTAAATTCAATTGGATGAGAAGATAAATTAATATGTAGAGATGAAAGGATAAAGCTTTTTATATTAAGTAAGAAATTAAGACAAGATGTATATATATACTGAGATAATTGGAAGTGTTCTTTTTCGAAGTTTCATGAGTTGGACTCTGTTGCGGTACATTTTATTGGATACATTTTAATCTTAGTCATAATGATTGACTTTATTGACCGGTTATATATTCGACTAAAATAAGGAATTCTCGGTACAAAATATTAAACAGCGTGAAAATGTCCCCCGTTAAGTATAATTTGTTTGTGAAAGGAAAAAGCGAACATGTCAAAGTCGTTTTTACATTTTCATTTTCAATGGTGTTCTATTAGTTGTGCCGTGAAAACTCTTTTTTTAATCACATGAAATGGATGCTATATGAAATGTTATGAAGAACGTTTATTATGGTCTACGTGCAATCCAACGTAGTGACACTTCTTTTAACCAATGGACAGACAATGAGAAAATATGATAACTAGTGTGAAACTAGCAAACAATGGGCATCGATGAGCCCATCAAAGTTCAAATCCAGAACCGTGAAATCATCCTATGAGCGCTTAATCCTTGAAACAGTGATTTCGCTTCCTACGAATCACATTTCTATCTCTCATCACTGTAATCTCTAACAATTTCGTAGACGTTTTATCGAGATGCATGAGTGAATAAATAATCCAGTAAGTAAGCACAATCAGTTAGGGAAAGAAAATCTAAACAGGAAAGATTTTAAAAATATTTATATTTGAATAACAACAAGCATAGAGATTTCAGGTTTTCATTGTTGTTACTTATTTACTTTGGCATGTTACCCCCGAATGGAGCACAGGCTGCCTACCAGCATTCTTCAGCCTACTCTGTTCCGGACGTTCCTCTCTACTTCTCTCTTATTGTTGTTGACTGTTCTCGTGTCAGTCTATATTTCTCGGCGTAATGTGTTCCTTGACGTTCCTATTTTCCTTTGACCTTGAGAGTTCCAAGTAAGGGCTTGTCTTGTGATGCAGTTGGGCGCTTTCCTCAATGTGAGTGCTATCCACTTCGAGCGTTTCTGCCTGATTTCTTCCTCCACTGTAATCTGCTCCGTTCTGTCTCACAATAGGTTGTTTATGATAGTGTCTGGCTAACGGATCCGGAGTATTTTGCATAGACAACCGTTTACAAACATTTTTATCTTGTGAATGATAGCTTTCATCGTTCTCAAAATTTCCGCCCTATACTGTAGGACTGTTTTGTCACACTTGTTGAGAATGTGAAGTATCTTTGCAGATACTGTCACGTCTGTTTTGATTCCCTCTGCTGGAATGTTGTCTGTTTTGCTGCTTCGCCGTTCTTGATTTGTCTGATGAGCACGCTAGTGTCTGCAATTGTTGTTGGGTCAGCGTCAACTCGGAGATCTGCGTGTGCTGCCTCGGTGTTGGGTGAATTTAGTGTGGCTGGTCTTATCAAGAGTTATTCAAAGTGTTCTGCCCACTTGTTACGCTGCTCTTCACTGTCGGTGATTAATCTGATTTCCTTGGTTTTCACTGGTCCTTTTGGTTTTTGATAGTTTCAAGCAAGCTTCATATAGTCGTCTCATGTTTCTTTCTCTTTCAGCTTTTTCTCTAATCCTGGCTACATCTTTCACATATTTTCGTTTGTTAGATCTAATGTACCTCTTCCCGTGCTACTTGTCTTTTGTGTACTTAACTTGTACCTTCGCTTTCTTTGCTCTTGTTTGGTTGATATTGTTTCTCATTTCTTGAATTGTATTCAGAATATCCACAGATATCCATTACTTGTGATGCTTCTTATTGTGGCTCACAACTTCATAACTTGTTGGAGTTATTGTTCTCTTGATATCTTTACGGTTTTTCTCCATGGTAGTTTCGTCTTCATTGAGTAGACCGTGAAAGGCTGGAAACCGATTGCTGAGAGCTGTCATCGAGTTCCTAAGAAACACTGTATTAAACTTTTGTGATGCTTTTCTACCAGTTGCCTGTTACTTTTCTAGTTTCAGCCTTATTTTGGCTACCACCAAGTGATAATCTGAAGATGTCTGCTCCTCTCTTTGTTCCTACTTCTTTCATTTTGATTGATGCATATGTGGTCGATTTTATTTTGTGTGGTTTGATCCGGTTAAACTCATGTAGCTTTAAAAGCGCGTATGTGTGAAAATATGCGCCCACCTACGACTGCTTTGTTGAAGGCACATAGGTTTGCAAATCTCTCACCGTTTTCGTTCATCTCTCCCACTTCATGTCGTTGCATGACTCATTCATATCCAACGTTTTGCATTTCGACCTTCGCATTTAGATCACCCATCAGAATGGTCGAGTCCTTTGTTGGGCACTTTTTTTATGAGTGACTACAATCTTTATTCTCCTCGCTTTTATCGTTGGTAAGTGCGTAGCATTGGATGAAGTTCATTATGGTGACATCTTTGTTTTGAAGGATGCTTTGATTATCCTGCATCCGTGATGTTTCTGTCCTACCAATGCATTCTATGCATTTTTGGGCATCATCAGAGTAACTCCTTGTATGTGAGGCATTTTCTTAGTCATGGCTGGCGTATAATATCATCTCCCGAAAATAGTCTTTGTTATCCAACTTGAGTCTAATGCGTTTCACTGATTCCAAGTACCACCAGATTGTAATCTTATCATTTCTACAGCAACCTGTATGACTGTCCCCGATCTCCATGTAATTGAATTATTGGTTTCTCTGGTTGTCAGAAGGGGCATCGGCCTCGTGACTTCCGAAGGAACTCGGCTTTCATCATGAGACGACGTAACTTCTCTAAATGAAGAGCTTCCTACTTCTGGAGCAGAGATTAAATAGTAATAAAAGGTAATAAACGGTTCGTTATTAACTCCTATACCCTATTCTCTAATATAGTAAATGTTTCACTTCGTAGCAATACTTACAACTGTTGAAATTTTTTTCTTCAATTTTATAGATCCCCTTTTCTCCTGAAAATCAAGCTGTTGTATATGGTCATAGTAAAGATTTTAATCCTAACAATGAAGAAGATTATATTCGTCCAATGTGGGCAACATCAGTACCTAAAAAAAAAAAGTCACCTAACTCAACATTTTTATCATCAGACAGTGATACACTTTTTGAAGCTGTCGCAGCTGAGCTCAATGTAATTGATGGTTTTATGTGTTTTTTTCGAAGATATAATGCACACTAAATGTTTTTGTTCAATTTTGGAATAGTTCTGCTTCAATATTTATGCGTGATACAATCGATTTACTTCGTTGTATCAATCTTCAAGTTCATAAGTCTTAGTAGTTAAAAACCTGATTAACGCCGTACTTTGGTCAGGTCTGCAAAAGGTTTGTATAGCAGTTCTGCTCTACGCTTGCTTAACCTGACCTGTTACTGTAAAGAATGTTATATCGTGCGCCTGTTCTCTTGTTTATGATAATACTATTTAATATGTCATGTTATGTGACACTTTACACCTGTGTTTCTTCCAATTTAGATATTATCTAATCGTCTGAGAGACGACAGTGTTCGACTTGCAACAGCGACCGAAATCGCAAGTGCTCGTCAGTATGTTTGTGATGGTTCAGAAAGTATCACTTTTAATGAACCAAATGATAATGAAGAAACCACCGTAAAAGTAGAAGTTGATGAATATGGCCTTTCGATTATTGAAATTCGTAATTTCTATGGTGATTTGAAAGCAGCGGTAAATGAAGTGACCAAAGTATGAATACTTTTGATAAATTTTTTCATGTGAGTACTATTTTTGTATGTATTATTCTTATTCCAGTTATCAATTTAATTTTGAATTGTAGATTATACATAATAATCCATGGATTAGTAAGGAGCAATCTAACTTTGAAGATAATGACGAGCCAATGAAACGTTTCATGAGCCGATTATTAGTTTCATTAACTAAAGCTTTGGATACGGATGAGAAACTATGGGTTTCAGCAATCACTTCCTCGGTTGCCAAAACATGTGATAAACTTCGCAGTAGGACAACATTATCAGTTCCCAATTTAGGCGTGGAGTTCCCGTCAGGGAGTGTTTTATGCCAAATTATACAACAATTGACGGAACGAATATCAGCTTTTATGCGTCGTGAAGATGAGGTATTATTTCTCTTGTTATTGTGTATATTCATTTTTGTAGAATACATAAATTTGATGATTGACCAATTAGTTTATTTATTGTTGTATTCTTGTGTAGTTTCGCAAATGTCTTATTGAAGTTCTTCATGTAGAAGAAGCTTCATTCAAATCTGAATTGAAGACTCATGTTAATCGTTCAGACGCTTTGATGGAGGAAAGTAAGTAGTTGATTTTGAATTTGAATAGTTAAGTGTTTAATAATCACCTGTTTAAATGTTGAAGACGAACTGTATATTTTTAATTGTCATTATTCATATAATGTCTTACTCAGCCAGTCAAAGAGCTGCAATGTGTAACTTGGTACTGACGTAAATCATTCCAGATTTCTGTGCCACATTAGCACACAGAGATGGAATTTGTAAATTCAAAAGTCATAGTGGTAGAGGTATTAGAAATATTAGTGGTAATGGAAAAGATTAGACTTCGAAGATATGTGATAAAGGTCATGAAGAATTCAGATGATAAGAGTTCGAGAGAAGACGAAGAATGGATGCGCCTGCACCATTGCAAACGATCTTGAGCCATGTCATTTAAAGTCTGCAACCATTGGTTACTATCAACTCGCGGAGTCCAACCAGATAGTCTGCACTTACTAGTATGCCTCAGTCTAGTCGTCAATGACTTCGTGGATCGGTGACATGTAAAATATATTTATTTCTTTTCTGTTTTTAATTACCTTCAGTTAATCGTTTGACTGAAGTTATAAACTCATTGTCGGAAGAATTGAATCATGCAAATAATCGAACTAATGAAATGCAAAGTCAACTATGTGATACAGAAGTTGATCTAGTTCAAACGCAGCATGAATTACAATTAAAGGAAGATGAAGTCGAACGTCAGCGAACTGATGTTGAACAGTTAAGGTTAGTTAGTTTCAATAGATGACGTTGTTGTTGTTGTCATCAAGTGCGAGTGTGCTTGACTATATTGTAGCTAAATGCGCTTTCTTCTGCTTCTCAATCTAGAGTTGCGTACACATCTATTTTGCCCTAATATCCATTGACTGGACAGGTTTATATCGTTTCTTTCCTAAATTATTTAAACATCGAAACGTTTGCCACTCGAAAACTTGATAAATGATTCGCCAACTACTTCATAGATTCTCAAAACTTCCCTACACTTGAAAATAAAACGGCAGAAGAAGACCCTCACTTGAAAATATTCAGGAGCTTGACTGCATAAAACACAGAAAATAATCATATGAAATTGAAAATATCTGCAGAGATCAAAAGTTGCTACCAGATCTAATCAGTTGCCTAGAAAACAAAATCTGCAGAGCTCACTTTCCTACTACAAGTGCTTTTGTTTTCATGAAGATTCTAAAGCTAATTAATCTGAATCCGTAGCAATACATCGCTATCTTCACTCACTACATGTTACCTACTGGCTTTGGTGACCCTAAACTGTAGTTTGTTTATCCACTAATTGTTGATTATATTCATATTCTACTTCAGATGGTTAGTATTGTTTCATTTTTTATTGCGTATGCTTTAGGTTGTCACTGTTCGTCGCCAGCGGTTTTCCTTGATTATGAATTTTTCTAAAGCAGTGTTTTTTTCAGAGAACAGCCAACTGGTCACTAATATGCCATCCGGTTTCTACTTGCTGTGATTATTAGTCTTACAATTTTTCTTTTGTCATGCAACGATTGTTTTGAGTAGAAGAATATTGACATCTAGTTCATTTCTCGAATCCGACAGTAGATGCTACCTTGACATAGTGGTCGGACTTGCCTATCGTGATGACCCGACCGGGATATATATTGGCTGGAACATATGTTCCTGTAGAATCTACCACACCAGGCAAGTTGATTGCAGCACGGTAAGACTAAAAGCAACTACTCAAGGTATGAGGGCGAAGTCGTACTACTGACTGTAGAGGCATGTGACAGCAATGAGGTTAGTCCTCGGACAACCAGCATCTGAAGCAATGCTGCCTTCTCACATGGAAGGAAGGGGTTAGAAAACGTCGATCCTAAAAATGTCACACCTCACCTTACCTCATGGATTTCCGTTTCCGGCGGTAAGGCATTTTAAACGAGCGAAGCTAACACTTATAAAACTTCTCATAAAAAGGCCTGGGCGTGACCGGCCTCAAGCATTTGTCCTTTAGACTGTGCGGTCACACTCCCAGGTTTGTAAGACCAACACTTATCTAGCTTCCTTTTCAGGTTCCTCAGGAATCATTCTTCCACGGTGTGGGCAGCCAGGAAGTGACAACAGCCCTCATACCCGTACCAGCACCCGAGACGAAATCGGTTTTAATCAAACCCTTCTCACACCCCGTAACATCTCTCTTATCTTCACGACTAAGAATCTTCAGATCCCTTTATAACGCTGCACCGCAAATGCAAACGATACCAGTTCACAAAGCGTTATTCCTGGTCTCCTGAAACCCCGTTCTAAATTACATGTTGGAAATTTTAATATCCAGACATTAAGTCAAATAGGATAACAGGCTTCGTTTGCTAAGACTCTAAACTCTCGCGCCATCTCCGAAACGCGCATTCAGGATCCGAATAGAATTATTAACTCGATTTCACCTTGTCCAGAGAGATAGGTATAGTATTAAATCATTTGTGCGCTGTCCGACCAAAACGGAACAGTGAGGACTGTAAAAGATAGGAACACTCGCCGTTACCACTTTGTTGTCTCTCCATAAGTACCCACTGACTGCAGCTCAGACGAGGTAAGAGATGAGTATTACAGAAAGCTTTCGAACCTCCTCCAAAAGTTAAGCGCTCTAAAATAGTTATAATGGCAGGTAACATTGAGTCTCAAGTAAGTAGAGTGACTGAAAAGGAAGGATCTTATTGTGTCACGGCTAATTGAACAGATAATGACGACCGTCTGCTGCAACGACACTCAGATAACCGCCTGTTCCTAGCAAACACTAACGTTAAGCATAAGGGAAAACATCTGACCTGGAGACCCTCAAAGTCGTCCCAACGCTGGATCAAACTAGATCACATCGCTACCGACCACAGATGGAGAGGTCCGATAGGGGCCTGTCACGCGTTCTGGGGCACATGTTTAGACTCAGATCATGCCCTATTGCGAGCGCGTATTTGTTTGCGACTTACTGGACGTAGGAAAAACACCGCCAGAAAACCTCTTAGGGTTCTACTTAATGATAGCATAGCTAAGAATATATTTCAGGAACAACTAGAAAAATAGTTAGGCGGTCATGTATTAAGTGATGCCCACCGTGAGGCAGATTGGAATGATATCAAAAAGGCTGTGGAAACGGCAGTGGTATCTGCTAGTAAGTTAAACCATAAGGTTAGGGTGAAAGCGTGGATTTGAGTAAGATCTACCGAACTGATGGCTGCTCGAAAGCTCATCGCGCCTGGCTCTGAATGCGATGGGGAGCGGAGTCAGCTTAGGCGCAGGCTGATAAACAACCTACGCAGTGATCGAGAACAGTGGTGGGTGACGAAAGCAAGGGAGATGGAAAAGGCAACGGCGATAGGTAACAATAGACAACTGTTCCGCCTTATCCAGGAAAGTGGTGCTAGGAATCCATCTATTAGCGAAACTATATCAGGAAAGGATGGGCGTATCATGCATTCTCAACCCATAAGATTGGATCGATGGGCACAATACTTGAAGGATCAATTCGACTGGCCCTCAGCCACACTTCTGTGGCCCACGATCTCCAATCAACCTGAATGACTAGTCGATGTAAGTTTTCTAAATCAATAAAGTTTAGGAAGCTATAAGAAATCTAGAGCAAGGGAGAGCAGCTGATCCTGATTGGCTGTCTCCTGAGATTTTTCAGGATGGTGGTCCAGTTTTAGCAGTTATATTGACTGAAATCTTAGGCAGAATTTGGGAAATGGGCATAATTGCTCTCGAATGGTCTCAGTTGCTGATTGTTCCAATTTGTACGAGAAGACAAAAGTCCTTTTGTGACAATCACAGAAGAATCAGTCTAACTAATATAGTATCTAAATTAATGGTCTCGATAATACGCCAAAGCCCAATTAGAGCTCGTGAAGAGCAAACTAGAGAAAACCAGGCTGCTTTGCAACCTGGACGCGGATGCATAGACCAAATATTCACACTACGTCAGGTCCTAGAACGCAGACACACGTTCAGACGCCCCACATTGATAGCATTTGTCGACCTTAAAGTGGCATTCAACTCTGTCGATCGCGGAGCATCGTGGTAGTGTGGTGTGAGCTACTTATAAGTAGTATATGACGTGAGTGTCAACGTAATGTCTGGCAGCAGCAGATGGAGAAAGATCAAGAAAGGAAGAGTTAGAACACAATGGAATTTGTATGAAACGCATGAATAGTGACAATGGATTGATGTTTTGCAACAGGAACAGTCTAGTTCGATATGATGAACTGATATTTTGCAAATGAACGATTTACTATATGGTTTTCCGATTTTACAGAGTAACCATGTCAGGGAAGTGCTATCTATCCATTCCTGTCCAACTGTCGTCGACGTGCAGTGAGAGTTAACATTAGCATCATCTGACTTTTCGGCATCGGGAATTCTACCAGGAGGGAAGCTTGCTGACCTAGAGTATGCTGATGACGGTTCTGTTTGGTGAAAACGCTGACAAAATGCAGAGTCTTCTGACTAACATAAGCAAAAATGCAAGCATGTTATGGAAACCGTTTGCCCCGCCGAAATGCGATATGTTGCTTCAATATCGGATCACATCGGTACCAAAACTAGTGATATTCGATTATAAATGTCTTCGAAGCATTGCACATACATTCTAGGACAACCGAGTAAGCAAAGCTATAGCTAGGAATCAAGTGCTAGGGAGGGATTGCAAATCAAATGATGAAGTACTGAAACTTCATAAGTTGAGTTGTTTAGGACATGTGTTACGAATGCCCAACCACCGACTACCTCGACAAGCTATGTTTTGTGGTGTCGCAACAGATTGGAAGAAAGCCAGGCCCGGCCAAACCAAAACATGGCACAAATCCATGAAGTCACTGACAAGTGGACTGAGCCATGTTGGTAGATGTAGACCACCTGGTTGTGGCCCACGAGAACATAGTAACCGATGGTTAGAGAGAGACCTTGAACGATATGACCCAAAACCGTTTACAATGGCGCAGGTGCATTCATTCTTTGTGTTTTCTCAAATACTAACCTTGTGAATTCCTCATCATCTCTATCTTTCTCTCTCTTTAAAGTTATCTCACTGAATTATACCTTTTGAATAATATCTTCGAACCCTGATCATCTTCATCACTTCTAATACTTCTACTGCTCTGTCACCTTGTGATTTGAACTTACAATCGCTCCTCTGTGCTGATGTGGTGTGGCAACATGTACTAATGTACGTACGTACGAAATCTTAAGTTGTAACTGAATGACTGACTTATATCTTGCACCTATTTTTTCAACAGGCAATTTTAAGGTGTTCAGTATTTTTCTGTGTATTTATCAACCTGCACAATAACAGGTATTCGCTTTAATTAAATCTCATGCCTAGAAATATTCGTTTGTTTCTGTATGTTGCTGACTGTGATTTGATTTTGTAAAGCGTTGTGGATATTGGTTACTGTGTTTTGAATGTTTCTTGTGTTTCTGACAAACTGGAACCTGTTTATGTATTGTTCCTTCAAAGGTTTTTAAGGGTATGTTCAATTAGTGAATTTTTGACTAGATCGCAGATTAAATGCGTGTGGAGCATATCGTTCGTCCTACAAGTTGAATCAAACGGGTCCAATTTCGGAAAAGCAAACTTACATATCCGAATGGGACGTATTCTGTTTTTTTATTTACTTATGACTCACGGTTTTTGTAGTATCACACATAGTTTAAACGCTCATACTTCGCACGATCAACTTTTATTTATACAATAATTCTACTCAATTCACTTGAATTTTTTTCATCTTTGTTATCCTGTCAACATTTCACCTACTGCTTATGATATTCTTAAAACTTTATCATCGTTATAAGCAACGTTATTAAAGCAACATAATAGTTTTCCTACCATCATAAATTGTATTCCCTTGGTTTATTTTTCATGTTGGTTGTAATTCCTCAATATTTGAAATCAAATTTTTCCACCCTTATGTTAACCGACCTTTCTTATCTACAAAACGACATATTTTGAACGTATTTAAGCTCTGTGATCAATGCAAACGTCTGCCATTTGAACATGTTTACAATATCATTCAATTCAATAATTTAAGGAGATCCTTATCTCTCTATTCATTTGAATCATCACTTATTATTCATTGAATAGTAGTAATAGTAAATTGCATGTTTCGGTGTAGAGATAAACCGTCACTATAACGAAACTAGATAAATGAAGATCTTATTTTTTTGTTCATTTCACATCTGGTTTTGTGTTTGTCGTGCACAATAACAATTTTGATTATTTTATTTTCTCTCTCTCTCTCACACACAATCTCTCTCGATATTCATATACTTTTGTGTATTGTACAATTCCAGATTACAGCTGTGTGAAGAAAATGCACAAACAGAGAAATTTCGTTCGGAACTTGAAATGTTGCAGTCAGATAAAGTTCAAGTTGAACATGAATTGTCATCGTCAAATAATTTAATTCAAGTAAATCTGTTTTCTGTCCTATCAATTATTGAACTGCCTCATGTTGATACTACATTTTTGAAATAACATGAAAATGTATAAAACGGAAGATAATTTTACAAGTATTTTCATTAGATTACATATTCTAACTAACCAGTTGAGTGAAGGTTATTTCATTAAAGAGTCTTATTGCTAAAATTAGGACAACACATGTAAGCGAACTACATTGTTTTCAATTAGATCGTCTAAGCTTTTATCAATAGTTCAACATAGGAAATAGTAGGTCAAACTTTGATAATTAGACTTAAACTAATCAATACATAACAATAAAACCATTACGTAATAAGAAGAGTGTACATAATAAGATAGTGAAAAATATAAAGGGATAAAGGCAGAAAATTACAAACAAACACAGGATGTGTAAACAACGCTAATAATAACAAAAATAAAATCGAAACTGAAAATTCTTAAAACGTGCTGAGAGAGGTTCATTTATTTTTTGGTTAAGTAGCCTATTAGCTATCTCCACAGGAGCAGCTGAATTTGTAAATGCTCAGTGAGGAAGCCAACTCAAGTAACTTATCCTTCACTCGAGTAGTCTTCTCTGGTCAACTCGAGGTCAACGCAAGTTTAGATGCGTAGAATGTCCAACTGGTTACTTTCGTTAATGTGTTCTGAAGAGTGATGCTAGCTACAACCCTGTTGAATTGTAGTTTAATGAATAGAGGCTTCTTTCGAACGGTTGAAGTTTCCGACTTCTTTTTAATTATTACTCAATAATTTTCAGTCAGAGTTATGGAAATTAGTGTTTTTACACATTTGAAATGATCAATCAGTGATTGTTAGACCACCGTAAGAAACCTGGAAACACTGGACCGCCGCTTCGTTTTTACTTCTTTCTGAATGCAGTAGGGTAGACAATCTCGGTCAGTGAGTTTTTGATGAATTCAAGCTCCTGACTTAAAGTATCCACTGAACAGATCATTTTTTTCTCTGCTAGTGAGACTTCTAACTAAATTTCTATTGTAACGGATAGGTGTAAAACTATGAAAGCGAGTATAATGGCAGGTAGAAGGGACATTCTCTTGATACGCTTCTTATGAACGAGCCATCAGTTCGCCTGCTTAGTTTGACGTCAAGGAAATTCAGCTTTTTATCACACTCGTCTTCACTAGTGAAAGTGATAGCCAAGTATACACTGTTGGATTGTTCAAGGAGTTTTTCTTCATTGGTTTTCTAATCAACAACAATGAATATGTCATCGATCTAGCAACAATATAGACTAGGCTTCTTAATAACCTCATCTAGTGGCCATTTTCTAGCTTCGCAAGTGAGAAATCAGCTAAAATTATTAAGCCTAGAGAAGAACCCAAGGTTACCCTATCAGTTTGTTGAAGACGAAATGGACATTTGGCGTACATCTTAAGAGCAGCTCTTTCAGGCTATCCTCAGGCAAGCCGATGTTGATTTGTTTTTCCGATATTTGCTTGCATATAAACTCAATAGTCTTGTTAAATGGTACGTTGGTAAACAAAGATACGACATCCAGTGAGATCATATTTTTCATACTTGTTCTAACTAGTTTCTGAAATGCCCCCTAATAAGAAATACTCCTATTTATTTATAGTTTTAGCCTAATGAGTAAAATGTTACCGACAGTCGTCTATATAGTGAATAGTTACATTTTTAGTGACCTTTTGAAAACATAGTTATATCCAAACGTCTTGAAATATCGAAATTATTTGTGGCATTTCCTCCAGTTTCTTTGACATGGTTTTTAATTGTGCTTTTGTAGGAATTAAAAATATCGTTGACTAATGAAAAGAATCGAGCTCAATCGTTGGAAATTGAATTGGATCAACTATATGACCAAATTAAAAGGAACATTTATCAGTGAGTACTATTTAGTTACTTTTCACTCGAAATGTCTCTATTTTTAGCTTTATCGTGTTCTATGTTGTTCAACACTATACTGAATCTTTATATATGATACACTTACTATTAGAAACCGATAGTTCCGAATACTTATTTTTTACTGTGGATTTTATTTTATTATTGATATTATTAGTATTATTATAACGACAGTGTACACTTATGTTAAGGAGTAAAACGTTTGTATTTGCATATATCATTCATTAGGTTCATTTACCAAAAAATAGAAAGGTGAATGAACAGCTATGTACGCCTTATAGCATTCCATTCAATCTTTCGCAATGGAGTGTATTCCGCTTGAAAATGAAAACGAAATACTGTGGTTTTCCACTATAAATTCTCAATATATACCGAAGAAAACCCATCACTTCATTTGTTTAGTGCACACCTCAAGTGTGTGACTTGTAATATTTAAGAGGAGAAAATGATGTTGCAAGCACTATTCCTTATCCCATTTGTGTTCTTCAACTACAGTTTTCCTAAGGTTCTTTGTGCCCCATCATTTAACAGGCTGCTTGTTTGATTTAGTTAGTTCACTGTCACAAACTTACAAACACTGTACAGATGTTTCATCCTAGCATGAGACTCGGTAGTGTGCATCCACTACTTCACTTGAGATTAAACCCGTGACCTGTTAATTGCTTCGTACAAAGTTCTAGTGTCCATGGTTCAATACCTGGTGTGATCGTAAATGTTCACCATTGAGTAGTTCAATACTAAAACAAAACAGCCGTTTAATGCTTCTTAGTTTCCATTGGTTAACTGACCAGTGTCAGCTTGGTGAATCTATGGTGGCTAATGTCACTAGTTTCGTGACGGTCGGTACCCAACGTGTTCTTAGAATTTGTAATTTGCTCGTCCAAAAGACCGTTACTAAATATTGCCCTATGGTTTACAAAATCAGAAGGCGAATACGAAGTGTTGAACACGTTTATTTAACAAACCACAGGCACACAGAGCGAAGGGCAAGCAAGCTACTGAGTGTGAAAATTGGCGAGTGGATTAATAAGATTAGAATGTACATATATATTCATAGGAAAATGGCTGAGTCATCGAAATATTTAAAGAGCGAGTAGGATGAATATTCGCGTACTCGGTAAGTAATGTTCAGTCGTACTAGGTCATACAAACCAGACAAATAGTACATAAAGTTGTTGCTATACCAATGGCTTGGTTAAATAAATCAATCGAAAGGCTTAACCAAATTAAATATAAGCTAACTCAAAAGCATGTGGAGACTCTACAAATAGTCTAGTTCCAGTAAGGTCGAATAGGAACACTTGAGTGTGTTGCGCTGTTAGTTTCTAGTTTTCTTTATAATCCTACCTGGTTTGCTGATTTCTACTCTCACTTTTCTTACTTTGTCAGCACTATACTAGTGCCAAATAATTTTGATAAGAATAATACTGACTTTAGTAGCGAAAATCTTACTGGAACCGATGAAATTAGAACACCTAATGGTTGTTTATCAGATATCAATCTGTGTGTCTATGAAGATATAAATCTCGTTACTCCTCGTTTAGCATCTTCTCAACATGATGCAATAAAATTTCAAAATCAAGTCATGGAACTACAGGTAGTGTAAATTGTGTCCCTCTTGTTCTTCGTTGTTGATATTTTTATGGTTTTCGTTTAAAAGATGTACCTTGAGTAAATTTTAAATGCTTTGTTTGTTTGTTATATATTGTTTACTTTGTGGTTTCATACAGACTTGTGTCAGAAGTTGATCATGTCAGTCATTCAGTTACAAATTAAGATTTCGTACGTACGTACACTAGTACATGTTGCCATACCACATCAGCACAGAGGAGCGATTGTAAGTTCAAATCACAAGGTGACAGAGTAGTAGAAGTATTAGAAGTGATGAAGATGATCAGGGTTCGAAGATATTATTCAAAAGGTATAATTCAGTGAGATAACTTTAGAGAGAGAGAAAGATAGAGATGATGAGGGATTCACAAGGTTAGTATTTGAGAAAACACAAAGAATGAATGCACCTGCGCCATTGTAAACGGTTTTGGGTCATATCGTTCAAGGTCTCTCTCTAACCATCGATTACTATCGTCTCGTGGGCCACAACCAGATAGTCTGCATCTACCAACATGGCTCAGTCCACTTGTCAGTGACTTCATGGATTTGTGCCATGTTTTGGTTTGGCCGGGCCTGGCTTTCTTCCAATCTATTGCGACACCACAAAACAAAGCTTGTCGAGGTAGTCGGTGGTTGGGCATTCGTAACACAGGTCCTAACCAACTCAACTTATGAAGTTTCAGTACTTCATCATTTGATTTGCAATCCCTCCCTAGCACTTGATTCCTAGCTATAGCTTTGCTTACTCGGTTGTCCTCGAATGTATGTGCAATGCTTCGAAGACATAATCGAATACTAATAACCCACGAATATCTTCTATTCTTACTTGCCATGTTTCACTTTCATATAACAGGATGGAGAGAACTGCTGCGCAATCAGTGATTGAGACCGATCAGATGGGATTACACCAAGTCGGCGGATTCTGCCTAATATCTCAGTCAATCTAACTGCTAAAACAGAAGTTTTCATATCCATAACTAGTTTGTTTATTTCTCTTCTATGTCTCTTAAAGCGTTTTACTTCGCATCAATAACTGTCAAGATGTGACTACATTTTATAAAAATTAATTTCTGATTATTGAAACAATGCAGTTGTTAGTTGAAATTTGAGTTTAAACTGTTTAGACACGGGTGTTTAAAACTCTTCTCCATTTCCTTCAGATTAGGGCTGTCAGACACTATGGTCAAAAAGCGAGTTCAAGTAAATGGACCACGTTTACAAAGAATTAATCGAATTTATTTTTTACTGTTTTTTATTCAGGCTACTGCTCATGGTCTGTGTTCAGATCTCACTGAAGCAGACCTTCGTCTTATGCCTTCTTTGACATCTGTATTGCCGGATACTTATAATCTTTCTAACATGGATAGAGCATCACAATCCTCTGTGAATGAACAGTTCGCTTCAAAGAAAAAAATGCCTGTTTATGAAAATCAATCAGAATCGACAGTAACCAAGTTTGCTAAACTAAAGAATGCTTGTGTAGATTTACTACCACATATTTCAATGGTTGGGCGTGATGATGATGATCCACGAGCGGGGGATACTTTTGATCGGTATTCTAATTCACATTCGTCAGATGATGATAGTATTGAAGAGAATCTTTTCATTGAATCTGGAATTATGAATTCTTTATATGGTGAACTTGATGGTCATCGTATAAATGCTGAACACGATGAATGTCTAGTGAACAATAGTAATAATTTAAGTGGTATGCTTCATAAAGGATCCTGCAGATGCATTAAGACGATTGACGGACGATATGCTGAAACTCTAAATAATTCAGTACGTTTCATTTTTAACTATAACTGATTTGCCTTGAATAGTTATTTTACTTAATTCTGAATACTATTCTTAGCACTTGGAACTTATTTGCAACATGAAGTCCAGTTCACGTGTAATACACAAATAGTGCAAAATGGTAATCAAATAAACTATTTTCTAAATAAATAAGTCAACAACAGTACATGTTATGACAGATGCATGTGCTTTACTTGATAACTAATTGTTCATAAGTAAACAGTGAATTCTATGTCAATTAATATATATCTTTTAATAATATTTTTAGATTTTTCTGTATAGTTCAATTGTTTGATTATATACCAGCATGTATTTTGTAACTGTAAAAATTCTATACACTTCACTTCCGAATAACCGATACTCATCACTGATTGGCACTGAAATCAATCTAACTAAGTCTGATAGGTTAGTTCAGCGAATTATTAAATCACTAGCTCATGAACAAGTTAAATGTTAATTCCTTATCTTGAGTCTAGTTACAGAAAATATTATTTTCAATCAGACATGTATCCTGTAAATAAAGTAGTTAGTTTACGTAGGAATAAATTTTCATCTGCCGTTACGTCAAACACTTGTCAGAAGGTATCTCATTTATTATGTGTTTTACCAAATTTTTAGCAATTTCCTCTGTGCGCCCGTTGTCTTCGTGATGAATACTATTGTCGTTCACTGTCGTATCAAGAACGTTATTTACTTCTTCTTTTGGATAATTCCCGATTTTCCGAAGATATGTTAGTTGCAACTCTTGGATATCCTGAATCTCGAATCACCCTACGAATAGGTTGTAATTATGACTCTCCACAAGTGGGCTTAAGCCCAGCTCAAAGATTACGTACCATAGGTTGTTTTGTTCAAGCTATTCATAGGTAAGTTTAAGTATCGTGTGTATTCGAGTTAACAAACTGTTTTGTTTTTCATCGACTTAATGTTATACCGTCGTTAGTTATTGTCATAACTAATTGTAGTTATGTCATAACTAACCAATCAAATTGTGGTTTCAGCGCCCATCACGTGATCTGATCTGACGTGTCTGTAAACTTTCTTTGTTGTAAATGACCTACCAATTGAAGGACGTTATTATCTTATTATTTTGATGTGACTCGTAGTTTTATTCATTTCCGAAGACACGCTATATTGATCGGTTTGTTTACTGGGTTCACTTGATTACTGTAATTTCCTCATTTATTTTACTAATTTAGATGTTTTCTATGTTTAGAAACAGATAAAGTTTAAAGCAAAAGTTGATCTTCTTCTGACTATCGCTTTCCCATAGACTCGGTGCTCGCCAATATTGCGTTTACCGTTGTAGAATTACATCTGTAGGACAAATTAAATCCTACAACCGTTTTAAACGAATTATAAACATCCTTAACCAAACATCCTATGGTTACTGAAGGACTGAGAAACACACTAGTCTGAAGTAATAGCATCGTTAAGTGATATGTAGTTTGTAGTATGTTTACAAACATGTCGAACACACAGGGCTTGTACCGGCCTGTGGACAATTCACTTAATCCATTCTCCTCGGGTTATTCACATTCTTTTTGACCTTGTCTATTATTTGCTCGTAACCTTGGTTGTTATTATTTGTGTGTGCATACTTACTTCGCTGATCACATGCTTCATCTTAGTGAGTTGGTTCACTCACTTCCACTTCGCTTCGCTTTGCTTGTTGGCTTTGTATTCTCATGTCTGTCCGCGTGAACGATTGCATGAAATAAACTTATCAGACTGAATTCGTATTTGGCTTCTTATTACAGCCGTCGCGCAAACGGGGTTCGCCTACGTATTTTATATGGGGATTACTGGTAAGACTTATTTCATCGCACATCCATTCATCCATCTAAATCGGAGTCAGATCGCGGGCCATTAAAGGTTCTTTTTGATGAATTTTGTCACCGATTTATTTGTCTTTCGAACGTACTCTTATCGTTGGTTGTGTGCTGCTGATATTTTTTACAAATGATATACTTCACTAAAGTTACAATGCTGCCAAAGCTTCAGATAAACTACGTTTTTGGTGGTATCAAATTTCCTTGAAATAAGACAGCTGATTGCAATTCTTCATTGAAAGTACAGTATTGATGTAGTCTTTGACGATGACTCACTGACAGGTACGTAAACTGAAAAATAACCTGCATAATCACGGAAGATAATAGGCATATGTCTGCTTTACCGTGAATTATTTAGAGCTGGATCATTCAGTTTAGTTGACTCTGTGATCTTAATTATAGGGTACTTGCTATTCAAAAATAATCCACTCAAGGAATTTCTAGACATAACTCGTACTCTTAACTGAATTTTTGAGATGAAATTGTTCATGATAAAGGTGATTTACGTTATTGTTTGATTTTCTGTTCCCTAATTTAGTTGGAATTCTGTTTCACATCGGTCATAAATTTATTGCACCATATGGATGTCAATCGGATAATTTGATTCACCTTTAAGAATGAAGCTTGTATTGAATAATAAACGATGTAATGGTATACCTTCATTCAATCAACTCCCATCAATCATGCAATTTTGCATATGGATACAACTCCACCTCCATATTATGTACCACCACTTCAAAATAGATCATTTATATCTTCTAATTCGGGTAGTGTTAACCAAATTAATCGAATTCCTATCGGATCGTTACAAACGCCTTTGGAAGAATTGCATACCGAGTAATCCAAACAATACATATCCATCAGTACTATAAAGTTTGTCTACTTTCAATGGTGAAGAAATATTTATCAAATTACCAGGTTTATACTTCTACGATATCATAATTTCAAGCTTCATTCAGTGGCTACTGTTAACTGTTGGAAAAACCAACAAACTCTACCGGTTCTTCACATCAACAGTATGTTACTTTTTGTATGTACTGCTAATTTATCTGTGCTGTATCATTACCGATTTAACTGCATGAAAACTTTACTTAATACGGCAGAACAGGACTAATACTGCCGAATGTTGGAAAATGCATGACTGTACTGATGAGGTACTATTATTTGCTGCAAAAAAATTAAACTGTATCTAGATGCACTGAGTTATATATGTAGACAAATATGATTACGTTAAACTGCTCAGTAGTTGGGATAAATGAACCAATACCTTCATTGTTGTATATGGTATCAGTAGATTGAACATTTCACATTTTAACAAGGTGTTTGCGATACTGAATCAGTTGGACTAGTGGCCACATTGTAACTTAATTTAAAGAGTTCGATCACTATTAAGCAGGACCTAAAACGCAAGATATTACTCGTTTTTCAATGGTCACTCAATAGGTCAGGGGATGCACTGATCCAAGGTAATTCGGTCAGTGTAACGTTATACTAACGGAATTTTCGTAAAGCATTAACGAATGTCGGTATTATTTATACATTTCTGTCACCTGATGCGAACACTCCTTGAAAAGCAACCATGACTAAACACAGAAAGTCACCAAACATGAGGCGTCAGATGTCATATGAACAAAGTAGAACTGCTGTCAATCACACTTTGCACACGCGACACTACAACCAGACTGATTTGACATCATGACAACACCAAAGATGGCTTCAACTGATATAAACTATCCCTACTTTCAATTTTCTTCGATTGATCTTATCTGCCATATCAATCACTAACACATGCACAACAAATTTGGTGCAAAAAATTTTCGATTCCTTGATACTGACCTTAATAAATTAAGTTATATTCTTTATTCTCACACATACTATTGTAGTATTTAAATGTAGGTTACTTTATGATTGACTATGTACCATAACCTATAACACTTTATTCAGCACACATAGTTTTTCTTTTCTGAATGTTTCAGGTGATCGTATTCATCATTTAATCTATCATCTACAGCAACACTATTGACAACAAATTCAACAGGAATCCCAATCCATAGGTCAAGTTTATCTTACAACCGTCCATTTACGAGGAATTATCACCAACCATCTTCCTCTTCTTCATCATCACCTAGTCGTCTATCAACTAAGAATCAACGTCGGGTTTTGTCAGTTTCCGCTACTGTTTACCGTCGAGTCGATTCAATTGGAACACAGAATGTACAAAATATAAGACATAATCATCATTAGCAGAAATCAAGTTCTCAGTACATAAGAACGTCCTGGTTATTTCGATTGGTTATGTGAATTAAGTCCCTTGAAATTGAATCACTGTGTATATCGGAACATTTATACATAATCGAACCATAACTTATACATATGTTGTGTTTGTAGTTCTAATCCAGCTCCTCTGTAAATAACTATAAGAATATATACTTTTTGTATTACATCTTAAGCTTGATAGCTATTTATGAAGACACTCTTAAAATTGATGTAAACCGCGTAGGTTGAACTAAAACTATAAAATCTGAATGATGATTTGATTTCGTTAGATTACTGAAATAGATCAACAACAGTTGCTTTGACGTCACTGGGTTTCAGAATCTCACAACTTTTACGAGAAGAGACGAACCGACTTGATCTATTCCTGATTCAATTAACGAACAAAGACCACAAGGCACAAACCATTAGCAAGATACAGTTATATCCGAACTAGGCATTTTCGTATCACAAAATAGAGGACGGGGTTAAGTTTAAGCTACAATAATTTTGGGACACAGCGGCATAGTAGTGAATCATAAGTCAAACGAAAGCTTAAGATTTATAGAATAAGATAGAAACAAAATAAATATTGGTATCCATCAGACTTTGAATTAGGCGCAAGTAATCATAAAATAAACCCTAGTTGTTCTTCACTCTCTGTCTGTTTAGTTACATCTCTACATCACAGGTGCGTATTTTGTGCTTAAAAAAGAAATAACGTAAACCATTTACTTATGCCTGTAACCCCCATGGAGCATAGGCCGCTGACCAGCATTCTCCAGCCTACTGTGTTCTAGGCCTTTCTAGTTCCACCTTTTGTTCATTCTTTTCATATTTAAATCCGATTATCGGCGTAATGTCTTTCTTGGTCTTGAGGGTTCCAGGAGAGGGCTTGTCTTGTAACGCACCTGAGTGCTTTACTTTATGCGTCCTATCCACCTCTAGCGATTCTTCCTGATTTCATCCTCCGCTGTAATCTGGTTTGTTCTGACCCATAGTAGGTTAGTGATAGAATCTAGTGAATTAAAATAATTCCAACTTTTTTCGTAGCAAACCTGCTCCAGTGTTTTCTAGAAAAATGTTTGTAGGTTGTTGAATTTGGCAGGTGAATATTATGTATATTTACAGGGAGCAAATCTGTTATTGTTTAAATGGCTTTTTGACAGTTCTCATTTTGACTGCTTTCCATAATCCCTTTTTTTATTTTATAATTTTATTGTGTTAGCAGAAAAGATTTTTCAATAGTTCGATAATTGCTTTCGTCACCGTAATACCACATAAAATAGTTAGGAACAGTTAACAACTGCTTTCTTCTAGCCTAAGTCAGTTGGTCATGATCAACATGTAACCTGCATTGAGCTGATTAAAGGCTAAGGTGATTTTGTTTGTCGAGTTGATTGAAATGCTTTCAAGTAATAAACAGTTGACTGTAGACGATAATAAAAGACATGACTTGATAGATATTTTATGAACTGTCCTAAAACTGCATTATTCCAATTTGAAGTCAATAAGTTTACCGACACCCTGATCGGATCTAGTGCATCTTTATTCATAACAGTACATTTAAGCTAGCTGGTCCAATATTACCGTTACCATTCATTCAAGTATCACAAAATGATAGACCCGTGGTTACCCCACACCTGCTAACAGTAATAAGTCACGCCTTTATGCGCATAGTCCAAACCTTCTGTTTGCTTAATATTTAAAGCTACATCATTATCTTTCTATCTTTCGCAGAACTTTTCGTTTTTACTTCTAATAGACAGATAAATTAAAAAACCCGTAGATGCTGTTCAGCTACTGTAGATCACAAGAAACTCAAACTATCTTGTATCATTGTGAATTCCTACCAGTTCATGGCTTACCAGTTTAGAAAATTTAATTATCCCGCAATTATTCACACTCAAATATCTTACTTTTACATACTTATCGCCTTACTCATTAAGGTTTTTCACATTCTCTCATCAACCGCCTACATTTCCCTTTTTTCAACAACCGATTAACTGACCTACATCTTGCAATCTATACCATTAGTTAACTTAGTGTCATTGTGGTATGTCAGATGGAACTAGTAGGGATAAAATATTTTGAAAAGGTGTCAAAAATACAGCTAAGACTACAATATTATTTAAAATATACCGCGAACTGAAAGGGCGCCTGAAATCAAAAAATGATGTGTCTGACAAGCAACCACTCATGTTTGTGGTGTAAGACATTATGTTTGTTTATGGATCCTGGTGATATGGTAGGATGTAACTAAACAGTTATACTAATGTTACTTTTACATGTCAACAATGTATGTGACTTGTGTTTGTAACTTCGAACTGGTTCCACTTGCTACCAAGAAATCTTACTACATGCTAAACTAGGCAAGAGTAATTATAATAAACAAGTAAAAGTGTAATAAACGAAACACCACTTGAAAATCAAATCACCGGTTGTTTTTGAAAAATAGAAATTAATAAAGAGCTGCTAGCATGGCCAGAAGTAAACCAAAATATTTGGAAAGCAGCATTGTTTTAGAACAAGCTATTGATGTGTCACAAACCTTTCAGCAGCCCGGGAAGTTTGGTGCGCCGTTAACGATCAAAATCTATGTACACAAGTACATAACACTGAATTTAAGACGCAGTCATCATTAGCCTACACTTGCAAAATACTGCATATCACCATGCGGTAGCCTCGAATTGTTTTAAAACCATATTCTTTAGTCATGTCGACAATAAGATATGGGTTAAGACAGATTAAGAATGTGTGTGTAATCAAAATTCAGTTATGATTAATTTCCGTTCCGCTTCTTGTCTGTATTTCTCTTCTTTTCTCAGCAACATCTTGATATACCTAAAACGCGCTTTGCAACATATCATCTCATTGTGGGTCATGATTATTACCTTCGATATTTCCGTAAACAGCATTTTCCAGAAACTTGTTAGACCAGAGATAAGGACAGCAGTGTTGCTTCCAATATCCAATATCTTTTTCACGAGCTAGTGTTAACCAACTGATTTCTCGATTCTTGTTCTTTCGGAACGGTTCCAGGTATTCGGTAATGTCCAATGGATGGAGGTCCAGTCACTCGACTGTCTAATTCCAGTCAGTTGGTTGTGAGTTTGTATGTCTCGGGATTTGAATGGAAACGTTTGTTTCAGGGCAGTAGGGTTTCCGTATACCAGCAGCTATCACATTACCAGACCGGAGATCAGTCAGTTGCAATGCGGAGAGTAATAAGGATAATAAGGATAAAATTCTAGTCCTAATTTGAATAAAATTTCAGAACTGAGTAATGTATAGATGAATTTAGTTTGTTAATTGGTATTGAAGATTGTGACTGAGGACCGAAGTGTAAGCAAGGTGGAGGGAACAGAGATGAGAGGCGAGATAGATTAAGTAAGTGATCTGAAGAGATGGCAATGATAACAACTAGCAGGTCTCAAGATATGCATCATGAACAGCTTGTCCAAGAGGGAGATGATAATCCGTATGTGAGTACGTGATTATCAAGTCTCTTCTTAAAGCAGTCTACTGAGGGGACTGTGGTCACCGGCTGGGAGAGCCTTCCAAGTTGCGATGACTCGCAATGAGAAATAATGCGCACGAATCTGAGTATTCGCTCTCTGATGTGCAATCTTTCGAGGATTGCCTTCAAGGGAGTGGTGGTGATGCATCGGTAAGATGCTCATATTTGGATGGTTTGGTGTGCCTAATATGTTGTACGCCATAATCAGATCACGTCTGATTGTCCTGTAGCTCAGTGGAAATAATTCCAAGTGCTGGAGTCTATCTTCGTAAGGTTTATTTTTCAACCCTATCACCCATTTCGTTGCTCGTCTCTGCACTCGATTCAAGAGATTTATGTCTCTTTTGAGCAGAGGGGGAGCAATGACACTGTGAACTTCCAAGTGTGGTCGCGCGTACGTCTTAAATAGGGTTAAAAATAATTTCTGGGTGATAGTATCAAGTTGTCTTCGCATAAAGTGAAGAGTCACATTTGCCTAGTCTGCTTCCCCTAGATAGTTTGGACTGGTGTGGAGGCATTCTGTGGTTAATAAACCGAGATCGCGCTCTGAGGAGACATTGGTAAGTGGACTTCCATTGAGGGCATAGGTTGTTTGCGTCATATGAGGCAGGAAATGCATGACGTGGCACTTCGGTTGGTTGAGTTTCAAACCGGTTTTCACTGCCCATTTCTCAATGGATGTTAGGTCCTTTTGAAGCTCAGTCGAATCCTCTTCGCTTCTAATGGACCTTCAGATCTTCGCATCGTCTGTGTAGATCAGTGCCGGTGAGCTAACTAAGCTTAGCAGATCGTCAATGAATATCAGGAAGAGGAGTGGGCCTAGGGTGGTCCCCTGTGAAACTCCTGAAGTGGATACTCTCCAACTCGCGTGCACCCTGTTTACCTTGGTGCGAAACTTTCTTTTCTCAAGGTAGTTTCTGAGCCAAGATAGGAGTGGGTCAGTGAAGCCCATTTCCACAACCTTTTCGATTAGGCGTACGTGGGTTACTGTTACACTTGCAAAGTCGAGAAATACTATGTGCACTGGTATTTTACGGTCCAAGCTGGATGTCCGACTGTCCCATGTGATGAGAAGATTAGATGCACACAACCTGTCTTTCCGAAACCCGTGTTGAGCTTCATGGAGTATTTTATTCTTATCCATGTACTCCCTCATTTGTTCGTCCAACAGCCCTTCCATTACCTTTGATAGTATTGGTAGTAGTGCGACTGGTCTGTAACAGGCTGGGTCCTTTCTATCTCCTCCTTTGAAGATTGGAGAGAGAGTAGCTTGTTTTCATTCATCTAGGAATTGGTGTGACTCCAACCTGGTGACTTACCTGGGCGTAAGGTTTCCTTAGTACCATGTCAGGAGTGATACGGATGTTCCCTAAGCCGTCAGCTGGAAATGGGTTGGCGTAATACTCTGAACATGTAGGCGCCTGGTTTAACTGATCAGAAAAATTGTTCGTTGAAGATCTCAGCCATCTCTAGGTTGGTCAGGTCTTCCCCGTTCGGTCCTTTTAGAGAACACAACTTTTGATTAGTAGGTTTTCTTTTGGACATGAATCTAAACAGATGCTTCGGGTTAACCTCTATTTCATCAGCTAGCTTCAGCTGCAATTGTCTCTTGTCGCATCTGAGTTCGGAATCCTTCAAGGAGACCTTCCACTTGTTCCAGGATCTCCTCTTCGCCTGTAGCAAGCGTTCAGTGCCGAGCCTAACCCAGGTTCTTTTATTCCCGCGTGTGTTATGTGACTGAGGTACATTGTCTACGACAGCGTTTTGTATGATATCTCTCACTGTTTGCCAGTGATCATCTACTGTCAGCCTCCTCCACTCCCGTGGCCATGGGGCATGTAGGAGGACTTCTCTCGTACGTGTATAGTTTGCCCTAATTTAGCAAAGGTAGGGCTAGTTTCTGTCCTGCCTTGAGAGTTTGGTTTATGACCATGTTAAACAGGACTGTGCTATGGTCACTACTACCTATTGGTGCACGGACGTGAAAATCCTCAACCAGGAGCTGGTCATTTGTTAACAGATAATCCAGGTTTGAGGACTTTCCCTCTTCAGTCCATCTAGTGGCACTGCATCAATGCCAAGTCAAGCTAGAGCTTCTGATAGCTGCACCGAGTCATCTTTGGAACCAACCAGTCTGAGTTTTTCCTTTTTTCTGAGATTAAGAGATGGGGTGATGGAATATACAGCTAACAGTATTTCAGTGGCAGTAGCAGGTGAAACCTATCATTACGTTGATGACCTGATAGTGATCTTTAGAAAAAACGTTTGATGCAAACAGACCAGTATATAATCAAAAATGTGGACAACTGGTTAAAGTGTTGGAAATCATAACTTGGGACTGAGAAATGCTGCTGGCTGTGTTTTGGAGTCATATCTCACGAAATAAATCCCACCCTGTTACACTCGTTTCTGAGTGTGCTTAAAACTATTACGGGTTCACCCTAGTCGAATAACGAGAACAAAACAATGAACCATCGTCCAGGTAGGCTACTCTGATCCCTTGATCAAATTGTATCAGTAAGAAGTTTTGTTATAGCATAGGAAGTGTATTCTACAAACATTCAGTCAGCACACAATGAATCCAAGCACACAAATCGTGTTTATTTAATACTCATAGAGACGTCCTTAGGAGAGTCACAAAAGAGCACACTAAAATAACACAGTAACCAATCACAGCTACGGATTCTCCTGGTGGGAAATGTGATCTCAGGGTCAGCTGATCAGCCCGTGAAATAAACCCAAAATTATGACATTTATCAAGCGAGTTTTGGGGATCTCACATCCACAACAAGACTATTTTGGACTATATATATATAATCCGTTTCGTGATTACTCAGTTATATTGATGTTTGGAAAGATACACTGATCTTAGAAGAGTACTGTTTATCTCATGAGATAACCATCGGTGTTGTGCCTTTAGGAAGTTCTGAGATCGATACGGTTTGTTCATTGTTCCTACATAGTTATATTTTGTCTATTTTGTATATTTTACATTTCTTGCTGGCGATAGGCGAAATTTAACCGATTTTTGATGAACGCGACATGTTTTGGGAGTCAGTCATATGTAGAATTTCTGCTATATGGATAGTATCTGTTCATTATTAAGTCTGTATTAGGAAATAGTCTCTAGGTAGGAAAGAGTCCAGTATTCCTAAGGCAGTAAGAGTATCTAGATGAAAACTACAGTAAGAAGATATAGTTTCCGCAGTAAATTCAATCATTCTCTTGGTCTCCCACATTTGCGAACATCCCATGTTTCAATAATAGCGGTGGCTTTGGTTGTTAGAAGATTCATTGGGCACGTGACTCTCGGGGAAACTCAGCTTTCACCATGAGCCGCCATAAATTTTATGAATGAGAACCTTCGGACCAACAGGTCATAGTTTAAATGGTTCGAATGCATTGTTTTGGCTGGTGTTTTTCTAGCGAGTTGGATTTTTATGAGCTTGGTAGCTAACCCAATGCTCATCTGCGGAAGGGCTCTAGGCGGAGTCATACTTAGAATCCTAGTAAATTGTGAATGAAAAAGTAGAGGTTTGACATATTCTAAGAGCCTACATGGCAACGTTTAACTATAACCCTGGTAGTTTTCTCTTGAGTTTATGTGCATTGCTTACTTCGCTTATCACATCTGTAGTTGATTTGGTCCTACTGTTCAGTAGACTACAATCACCGATTGGATGCTAACCACTTCTTATTTCTATATGACCGTTTGCAATGGGTCACTAATTATCTGTTTGACGATCGGCTAACTTAATTTATTATGTGGTAGAATAATTTTCAGCCAGCTGTGACTTTTAGAATAAGCTAGCAGCAGAACTTCTGAAGATACAGGTGGTCTTGAAATTGTGATGTGATGTGCAACATAGTGGTTACGTATGGTAATTGCCGTCTTGTTCGGCACAGTTAAGGACTGATTGATAGAACGGGTTGATTATGTATTTAGCCGTAATTATGCTTTAACTGCATCACTAATTAAACTTCTTGGGTCAGACAGTAGGTCACAGTGTTGTAGTAAATTTATACCAATATTTCGCACTTATAGATCTGCGGCAATGAAACTCCAGTGAATGGGTTTGCATAAACCAATAGTAAGATAAACTTACATTTTTTCGTCAGTGTTTTTATTAAACTAAAACTTGTCTTTAACACTACCTCTTGTGTAGTATTTGTGATGTGGTTTCAAGTTGGTAAACAATAACTTCACATTTTATTTTGTCGAAAACCAAAATGGTTTTTGATGTTTAGATACATATTAAATCACCGTGTCAGTGGTTTGTTAGGGACGGCTTTGCCTACCGGCCATAATTGCCATTAAAGCATGCTGGCGGATAATTTTGCCGAAGAGTTGTGACGGAAGATGCTGGGTCCAGCTAAATTCATGATTTACTGGAAGTTTTGAAAGATTTTCTGTAATTGTTGTTGTACCGACCAGTTCAGATTATTTGTTTCATTCATGGTCTAGAAATAGGCTTCTCCAAGGAGTTTCTGATCGTCTGAAATTATGATGAAGAGCATTTGATGGTATAATAGATGTCTGTAATTATATCTCAGATTTTATAAAGTGTTTGCCCAAGAAAAGAAAACTCAGAGCAAAAGGTTCTGGTGATCTCCAGAATGTCATCGGATGTAGACAGTTCGATCACTATGTTATTTCAGAATGAGATGAGAACGGATTGCGCCTGTTGGAAAAGTATGGACAAGAAGTTGTTGGAAAAGGCGTTCGATGAAAGTTAGTTGGCAATGACATTTCTCATACGCAGTTACATTTCTGTTTCCGGGTTAGTTTGCACTTTGTTGTTACGTAAAAGTGGGTAGAGCCTTTCTTGATGAGTTTGAAATCGACGTTTAAGGACTGCTCTTTTCCAGATTTCATAAGGATGGAAACGTCATAAGTTCGCTTTTGCAATTCTTTTAAGCTTCGGACACAAAATATTTTGCATTTTTTGTCCGAGTCAAAAAAACTAGCTCTTATACTAATTAGCTTTATACCAGGGAAAAGTTCGAACACTACTAAACACCTGAAACCCAATCGAAAGAACAGAACCTAAGCTCAAATAAACCAGTAGGTTTACACTAGCTCGTGAAAAAGATATTGGATATTGGACCTCAGTATCTGAAGGTTGAAATTTGTCCCTGAGTTTCGCGAGTTTATGACAGTAAATAGTGTGGTATGGTCGTTTCAAAAGAAAGGCGGTTTTGATCTGGAGATATCGCTTATTTTGTGCTGAATGATGTATGTCTTTCATCCAGATTGTTTTTAGGCCTTTTTAGCCTCTTAGTTTAAATATTGACCGTTTTCTGCGTGTATATTCTAGTAATTAATCATCCATAACCGAATTCATGACTAATAATCGAATAGAATTTGGTGGAATTTCTGGAAAGTATTTTCAAGTTGCTAGTCTGTAACTTATCGGTTGTAAAGCTCGATTTTAGGTTTTCTCCTTGTTTGATTCTCACTTATCTACTAGGAATGTACTACTTTTCATGAACATGTCCGTAGATAGTCACCGTAACATTCACCTTTGTCTGATTGGATATATCTTTCTTTAAATTGAAGCTCAGTCTTCCAAATCCTCCTAGCCATTATTGGATCATTTGAAAACTAATGATTTATGCATGGATTGTATTGACACTGGGTTTCAAGGTAAATTATATGTCTCTGACGGCCAAATTTATTGATGGAAAGTCTATTTTCCTCTAGGACCTGTTCTCACTCACACTAGGAGTCGAGTAATCAGACTCATCGACTTTCATGGGCATAAATATTTGGGCATATGTTATTCATGGCTAATCTCCGCCCGCCCGAACATGCAACGCTAGATAGGGAATTCGTATGTTGTAGGGAAGTTAGGGATGGTAAAATTGAATTGGTGTTAGATCACAAAGATACTAATCTTTTGAGCAAGCTGTTTGTATTCGTTGACTTTGAGGCGGGTGTACGCAGTGACCGTGGTCTATTATTGTAGACACTAAGTGGTATTATTTGTAACCATGAATCGATCAATGTTAGACCACTATTAGAAACCTGGAAGCACTGGACGGCCGTTTCGTCCTGGTATGGGACTTAATTTTCACAACAACCCCGCAATGCAACTAAGTGGTATTGTTTGAAATTGACCGCTCTGAATAAGGTGAATTTATAAATCTTCATTCGATTTATCTCCTTGTATTCCGGCCTCACCGATTCTCCTGGAAGCATCTGTAAATAATAAGGAAGATTATTTTCAATAACAGTCAAGATTAGGCAGCAATGGCTGACTGCCAAAGTTGGTTTGTAACGCAGAACGTTTGACGATTGTTGAACAAAAGAATAAAATAATCATAACTGAAATCACCATGATACTTTTAGAATTAAGTGGATTCATTATATTTCAGGGCTTCTCATCATCTGACTACTGCCCAAATTTACATCAGTAGTATTGCCCTGTTCATGTTTCTTTCCTTAGTATTACATTAACTTTCATTATGCTTTATAACTTAAAATAAAATATCCACTTACATTTATTCATTGAGCAACAATTTTGCTTTTATTCGTTGCCTTTTTTATAATCGTTTGCAAATTCACTCCCTTCCCCTTTTATGATTTCATAACATATAAATACTAATAAACCTTAGTTATTACCTTAAATATGATGTTTCTTCTTGTTTTTCACATTGGTTCGAAATAAACTTCATTTATTGTGGTATGTAATAAAACAATGTTATTACTGATGTAAATTTGAGCTGTAGTCAGATGATAGGAAGCCTTGAAATATAATGGATTCATCCTCTTTGGTAAAATTTTTCTCGCTTTATTTATCATTATCAAGGGGTCAAATTCTATGAAGTTACAGTTATAAAATGTGATAGGGGTGATAACTACTCAGAATACCGAATCAGTCGTTCAAACACATATTTATTGACTTCTAAAAACTGACCGTCAGTCAGTCAGCCATCACCTAGGACTTTATATGTACGTACATTAGTTCATGTTGCCATATTACATTGGGGCAGCGAAATCGAATTTCCAATTCAAATCCGATAGTAGTAGTGGTAGTAAAAGTATTAGTGGTATTGGAGAAGATTAGGATTCAAAGATATAATTCGAGAAGTATAATCCAATGACCGATTCAAAAAGAGAGCAAAGAGGTTACGAGGAATTCATATTAGAATTTGATAGAACACAAATAATGGATGCATCTGCCCCATTGCTAACGATTTTGAGATGTCATTCAAAATCTCTAACTATCGGTTACGTTTCTATCCTGGACCCTAACCAGGTAGTCTACATGTACTAACATGTCTCAGTGCACTTGTCAATGACTTCATGAATGTGTCGTGTTTTGGTTTGATTACTCCTAAATTTCTTTTGGCCTTCCTCTACATCAGACAACATCGCTCATCGAGGCATACGTAACACAGTCCTAGCTACCGCGACTGATAAAGATTCACTACTTCGTCAATCGATTTGCCATCCTTACGCAGTACCATTTTCCCAATAACGGCATTGCTTACTCGGCGGTCCCAGGATACACGATTAATGCTTCGAAGACACGCGTACTCGAATACTAATAACCTACGCATGTCCTCTATTCTCAGTGGCCATGTTTCACACCCATATAGTCGGTGGAGTAAACGGCTGAGCAGTAGCCTTGTTTTCCGTTTAGCAGACAGATATTTTTCTTACAGCATAAGTAATGCAAGTTGGCAGGAACCGGTTGAGCCTTCTCTATCCGTGCTGTGATTTCGACACATCAGATCGTCAGCACTGATGAAACTCCTGAGGTAAAGTAAGCGATTAACGTGCACAACTACTTCACTTCCTATCACTAGTTCAGGTGCCAATGCAAGCCAATCCTGAGGCAAAATGTTTCATTTGGGGAGGCAGAGTCGCATCCTGAATGTGCTTGTATTGTTGCTTGAAGTGGTCACAAGACTGCATTTTTCAGCGTCTTCATCAAGTAGAACTATATCATTGGCATATTCTAAGTCAACAACTGAGTCTCCTGGTAGAAAGTCAACTGGTTAAAAGTCTCATCTCTAAAAGCCTTAAAATACATTACCGCTTACTAGCGGTAATATATATATATATATATATATATATAATAAAAAGGTCCCGACCGAAGCTGCTACCTTGACGTGGTGGTCGGGCTTGCCCATCGTGATGACCCAACCGAGCTATACTGGCTGGAACATATGTTCCTCAAGGTTCTACCATGCCAGGCAGGTCGATTGGAGAACGATGAGACTAAAAGCAGCTACCCAAGGTCTGAGGGCGAAGTCGTACTGCTGACTGCAGAGGGGTGTGACAGCAGTAAGGTGTTTCCCTCGGACAACCAGCATCTGCAGCGATGCTGCCTTCTCACAAGGAAGGAAGGGTTAGAAAAGGTCGACCCTAAAAATGTCACACCTCCCCTACCTCACGGATTTCCGTCTCCGGGGGTAAGGGTGCCCACTAAGGGCCTTTAAGAACGGAGCTAATCCTCAAAATACCTTTCATAAAAAGGCCGTGCGTGACCGGCCTCAAGCAGTTGTCCCTTGGACTCTGCGGTCACGCACCAACACTAATCCATCTTCCTTTTCAGGTTCGTCAAGAAACAACCTTCCACGGTGTGGGCAGCCGGGAAGTGATAACCGCCCTCATACCCACAACAGCACACGAGACAAAATTGTTCAAAATCAAATCCTTCCTACATTCCCTAATACCTCTCTTATCTCCACAACTAACTCTTCTCACATTCATTTATTACAGTGCACAGCTAATGCAAACGATGCGAGTTTGCGAAACGTCGTTCCTGGTCTCCTTAAACCCCGTTCCAAACTACATGTTGGAGCATTCAATGTACGGACATTGTGTCAAATAGGGCAACAGGCATCATTAGCTAGGACTTTAGAATCTCGTTCCATCGATGTGTGCTGCGTCTCGGAAACGCGCATACAGGATCCGAGTAGCATCACTCATTTGACCTCACCATGTCAAAATAAAGAAGCAGCTCGATTTACCCTTCGTGTATCTGGTAGCCCTGATGCTGCTTCTAGGGGCCTCGCCGGTGTAGGTATAGCATTGAGTCGTAGGGCAGAACAATCTCTCCTTGACTGGATCCCTGTAGATAGTCGCTTGTGCGCCGTCCGACTCAACGGGACAGTAAGGACTCGGAAAGATAGGGACACTCGCCGTTGCCTCTCCGTCATATCAGCCTACGCCCCCACTGACTGCAGCCCAGATGATGTAAAAGATGAGTTTTACAGAAAGCTTTCGGACCTCCTCCAAAAAGTTAAGCGCTCTGATATAGTTATAATGGCTGGTGACTTCAATGCACAAGTAGGTAGACTGAGTGAAAATGAAAGACACCTAGGTGGATGTTACGGTCTCGCGGCTCAGAGAACAGACAATGGTGACCGTCTGTTGCAACTGTGCTCAGATAACCAACTATTTCTAGCAAACACTAATTTTAAGCATAAGGAAAAACACCTTTTGACCTGGCGACCCCCGAAGTCGTCTCAACGTTGGACACAACTAGATCATATCGCCATCAGCCACCGATGGAGGGGTTCGATAGAGGACTGTCGCTCGTTCTGGGGCACATGGTTAGATTCAGATCATGCCCTAGTGCGAGCACGTATTTGTTTGAGGCTTGCTGGACGTAGGAAAGACACCGTAAGGAAGCCTCTTAGGGCTTTACTTGATGATAATCAAGCTAAGAAAATATTTCAGGAACAACTAGAAAGACAGTTAGGCGGCCATGCAAATGATTCCCATCCTGAAGCAGGTTGGAATCATATCAAGAAAGCTGTGGAAACAGCAATGGTATCTGCTAGCAAGGTAAACCACAATGCTAGGATGAAGCAGTGGATTTCAGTCGCATCCACCGAACTGATGGATGCTCGAAAACGCATCCCACCTGACTCTGAACATGATGAAGAGCGTAGTCAGCTTAGGTGCAGACTTATAAAAAGCCTACGTAACGACCGTGAACAGTGGTGGGTGGCGAAAGCAAAAGCGATGGAAAAGGCAGCGGCGATCGGCAACAGTGGACAACTTTTCCGCCTTATCAAAGAAACCGGTATTAGGAACCCGAATGTGAGTGAGACTATCTCGGAAAAGGATGGTCTTATTATCCATTCTCAATCTAGGAGGCTGGACCGATGGGCAGAACACTTTAGGGATCAGTTCAACTGGCCTTCAGCCACTCTTTGGTTGCCCACGATCTCCAGTCATCCTGAATGGCAAATCGATTTAAGTCCTCCCAGTTT